CCCTTAAGGGCTCCTTTAAGGGAACCCTATAGATTACTATAGATCCCTTCCCTTAAGGGAGCCGTATAGATCCCTTAGAGGAACCCTTAAGGGTTTTGTTGGGATAAGGATTTAGGGATGTGGGTTTTGGAGCTTTAGGGTTTACGCTTTCAGGTTTGCTTTCTTTTGCGCAAGTTTTAGGGTTTAGGGTTTGTTGAGAGTTGAGGGCTATACATATATAATATATACATATATACATATATACATATATACATATATGCATATCATATGCATGTATGTTTGTGTACATATATATATACATGTCGTGTGTGTGAAAATCTTTCTACAGTTATGTATTTTACCTACACGCTGAAGCCAAGGACGGTTCACAGAGCATGCACAAATGTACTGCAACATCAGGCTGTCCTGATGTAGTTACTGACGGCTAAACCTTCGACAGCAGGGACCGTCAAACCAAAGTGCACGCTGGGTCGGTGTCGCAATCCCTTTTCGTGGAAAATGGTGCTGAGCCCGAAATCCCATGCCCGCCAGGCTGGATGCCCTGGATCGTTTTTCCGGTGGCACATTCGCGCTGGGAGGGAAAAATCCCTAGCATGTGGAATTAAAAAAGCCCAGCCCGGTACCTACAGCGAAACAAAAACTTGCAGCCCACCAGAGATAAATGCACACGGGCGTACAAGAATCCGCGCACAGGCGTAAACAGATAGCTCGATACTGCAGAATATCAGGATTTATGCAATGCAGGCATACATGAAGGCCGCATACATGCATACATACCAGCATACAGCACTCAAATGTTTAGATACTTGCTTGCTTTTGATTGTCCCCTTTGCTCATTGGCTCGTTGCGTGTAATTAAAACCGCTTCCCGACATATTTGCGCCCTCGTGTGCTTACTTACTTACATGCCTAACTACAGAACCTACCCACCCACCTACTCAACTCCTCCGTCACTTGGTTCTTTACTCGCTTACTGATTACTCACCTACAAGTACTTGTTTGCTTCTAATTGCTTCCTTGCCTACCTGCTTACTTGCCTACCTATATGCTTGCCTACAGCGTTTACTCACCTACCAATCCACTAACCCACATACTGACTTGCTTATTTACTCATTTGCTTGCTGAGGTCATGACTACACTGACTACACACCTCCGGCACCTGCACACATCCACAGATGCACACAGATAAACACGTGATACAAGTTTCATACGAGTGCTGACCTGCATGCATAGCAGGCCACCATATTACAAACAAACAAATAGACAGACACAACACTAACATTGAGTCAAAAGAGAAGGCACGCAGACAGAGAGATAGGGACGAGAGACGGAGATTGAGAGAGAGATAGACAGGCGGAGAGAAGAAAAAACAGAACAATGGAAAAAGGTGAGACAGAAGGAAGTCCGACAGACATGCGGCCCTAAGTTGGTGAAGTCTACCGAATCAACAGGTCAGGCCAACTGAAGCAAACAATAGAGTTTCATGCGTGCGCAACTCGAATGCCAAGAAACAAGCCGTGCAAGATGTATACATCGGCCGTAAAAGCATTCAGCAAGCCTAGCGGCATTCCTGAGCACCACGCCCGGGATTGATGCGGGCCGGCGCAACTTCCACCACCTTTTGCAGATACTTTCTCGTGGACTTTGCAACTTAACCAGCTGGAGGGCAAGAGAGGTTAACAGCTGAAGCTGGTGCGCTCAGACGTTCAGGATTTGAGGTTACGACCTGTGGAACAGGATTGCTCGAACCCCAGTGCGAACTGCCGACAGGCAAAGTCGCCTGACTGCATGTCAAAAGTGCTATCCAATTGAGCACACTCGTCTGCCAGGCTCTGCGAAGCCAGGTGCGAGAGATGACCATGCGGATCATGCGGCCCAAGTTGGTTCAGTTTTCTCTTCGGGGCGGTGGAAGTGTGCAAAATGATCTGCGTATATCTGCACGGACGCCACCTGCAGTTCGACTGATGACACTGATTCGAGCCTGTCATCTGCCCCCCCCCCCCAGGTGCCTTCTGGTTTCGGAGCTGCACACTGCAGTCGCGCTCATAAAGGTGTGCGCAACCTCCCTGGCCGTCTGCGAGAACTTGAACCTGCGCGAGAGGCTCAGTTACGGCTCACGCATTTCCGACGCAGAACACATGTGCATAAGCAAGTGTCAACTGTATCCACCTATGCATTTGTGTTGTTGTGTTGATGTATCGTCGGCTGTACCAACCTACATACATTCACGTATGGAGGAATACGAATATTATAGACGTTATTACAGGCTGTGCTGCCTGCCTCCGGTTGCCTGTGGCGGCAATACCTAATTGTTGGAAATTAGCACAGGGACGTTTGCTACAATCGCTGGAGGCATAACATGTGAGACCTGCGTAACAGCAAACGCCAACAAACAGGATCAATCCAGCAACCTGTTTGCTCACCTGTTTGCTCTTCGAACTGCATAAGACTCACGACATTCGGCATCAACCCAGAACCCTCCACTCCCCAAGCGCAGCTCAACCTCGATGTGCCGAGCATCATCAAGAAATTCCTCCAGAAAGACCTGGGACCGACGTTCACATCATACGTGCTGCACCATACCCCACGTTCCCGCTCTGGATGCACTTAGACGTGTCAAACGGAGGGCAGAAGCCAGGGAGGGCCCCAGGTTCGAAGCCCGTGGTTCCCTAGTCCTCGCAATCCTGGAAAGTCGTGCTCTTGCTGTGCCAAGCGGCAGAGCCGTTGCCGAAGGCGGTCTTGGCCTCACTGGTGCAGCGCCTGGTGGAAGCAACTGCGTAGTTAGTTTGCGGAACCTTTGCCCGTTTTGGGTGAGAGTACCACCGCCCTACCACTGACCCACCCATTAGAAGATATTTCCTATAACCCCCCCCGCCACATCTCACCAACTAAACCACCACTACTCACTACTCCCCCGTTACCAATACCAGTAGAGGAACAAGCGATACCTCATCCTTATTAGAGGGTTATTCCTATACTCCCTACTTATGCTGCCCCCACGTATCACTACTACTTCCCCATTACGAAGACCAGTATAGGAATAGCCAATTTTCCTCATCCATATTCCCCAAGGTGGCATTGTCATCCCAAAGCAGGCGAAGGTTCCCTCATAGATTTTACCAGGTTTAGGGTGCAAGTTTGCAGTTTTGTAGAGCTGTGCATGTCTTGCCCAACAAGAAGCTGCAGAAGCCACGGTGAGGAAAAAAGTATAGTCTACCTTTTATTCTTTATGAGGCATTGCACTACGAGTGTATTATGACCGCACCCTTTGAAACTAAACCTGGTAAAATCTATGAGGGAACCTTTGCCCACTTTGGGATGACAATGCCACCTTGGGGAATATGGATGAGGCAAATTGGCTATTCCTATACTGGTCTTCGTAATGGGGAAGTAGTAGTGATACGTGGGGGCAGCATAAGTAGGGAGTATAGGAATAACCCTCTAATAAGGATGAGGTATCGCTTGTTCCTCTACTGGTATTGGTAACGGGGGAGTAGTGAGTAGTGGTGGTTTAGTTGGGGAGATGTGGGGGGGGCTCTCACCCAAAACGGGCAAAGGCTCCGCTAACTCAGCTTGGGAGTCTTGCCGGGAATTTTGCGGTCCGTGACAAGCCTCACGAGTTCCCTGCCAAATTTGGACTAAGGCCCGATCACTAGGTTGTACAGCCCACAGTCTGAAACAGGAGTAGCAGAACGGACGAAGGGCCTCTGCCAACCCTCGAACTGGGAAAGCTGAGCTTCGTGCTCAAATGCCTCGTTGAGCTCACCATCTTGGCGAACGAGCCCTCAGAAATTGCATTCACCGTTTGCAGATGCTCTGTGCTGCATTTCCTTTACCTCTGCTAGGCTGTCCGATGCTTCTTGCGCTGTTGCGATATGCATTTGCTTTAGCTTTAGATCAGCTATCGCCCGTCACTCTTTCTGCTGTCAACTGCGCTGCAGGCTCAACATGCCGGCATGACGGCGGACGCTTGAGGCTGCAAGCTTTTTAAGGTGTGCTGCCACGTGAATACCCGGTCGGAGCCCGGCACACCATCCTTCATCCTTCCGGAACCGCCGCACAGCCTCTCACCCCGAACAGAAGGCGAACTTTTGCCGTGCGGCGCATGCCGCGGCCACCACCACCGAAGGCCGCCTTGAAGATGATCGGCAGTGGAAGGCCCTCACCTGATGCAAATTCTTCGAACTTGTAAGAACCTGATAGGCTTTGTGTTTGCACTGCCGATTCTCAGCGGCAGATGGCCGATAATACTGCTAACTGAAGAACGCCGGGCCTAACACCAGGCAGGCTGTGCCGGAAGACCGCATTCTTAGCTTTCTGTAATCAACCCAAACATGCCCCGCAACTCGAGTGGAATTGCTTTCACGCCAGGGCCAGGTGCCAGAGGGATGAGAGGCATGTGCACACGCTAGTAGGCCAACGCTGTGCCGACAACAACAGCCCTAGGACGCGGTCCAGGGGGCTATTGGAAGCTTGGACTCTAAGCCACCCAGGCCCTCGTAGCAACCCCATCTCCGTTGCACACGCTCAAGACAGCGTTGTCCTTCATCTGTGAACAACCATCACATCGGCTTCTCAGGTGGGTGACCCTACCAACGAGAAGGCTGAGGAAGTTTTTGGACGAGGTGTGAGCTTTGCATTTCCCGACATGCAGATAGTTTGTGGTCCAAAAGCCAAGCACATTCAAAACCTTCCAAGATTCCGGCTTGCCAAGAAGTCTCGAGCATGCTGTGAGGAGTCGAGGAACGGTGAGCCCTTTAAAACCTGGGGCAAGGCTGCATTGTCGCAGGACATAGGATGCAATGCCAAAGGGCCAACAAGCCCAGACCTCCAAAACACTGGGCCGCCGGCCGGAACGTTGCTGGACATTGCCAGCTCCCGGGCCCGGACCTGCCGCCAACCGAATCTTCCGACAGCCTCACCTTCTTACAGCGGGAGCGTCTTGAGATGGGCTGAAGATCGTCGTGGCCGACCGGCAGTTTGCAGCAGCTTGCTGGGGTCCGGCCTTGTCCCCGAGGAGTGCGATGGTCTCTGGACGGGGACCGATGAATACGATGCCTGCGGCCTGCATTCGACAGTGGGAGCAACTGCACTTGCCCAAGAGGCTTTCAAAAGCTCTGAATGCGATGCGCCTCACAGGCTGCAGCGAACTCTGCACTCTCACTGAGGAAGCCGTAGCCAGGATGCACCGCTTGGGCACCTGTCTGCCTTCGCGTCTGAGGGGAAACAACTCGGGGCCCGCTGGGCTCAGGAGATATCTGCAATTTCGGGGTCAGCTCCCAATGTGGGAGCATCTGTGGGCCCCCCCCTGCATTTGGTACTTCTCGGAGCTTGTGGAGCTAGTCTTTGAGTAAATATGTATCACGGCCTGAGGGTGAAAGCTGCGCCGAAGCGAGCTTTGGGAAACCTGTACCTGAGGTCGGGACTTGGCCGCCTCAACTACACTCTGTACGTCCAGGTATGGCGCAATCGGGCCAGGGTTCTTGGAAGTCACCTGGGCTCTAGAAGGCCAGGCGTTCGAGTGCTGCTTACCAGTTCAGTCTCGGTTCCAGGGTGGAGGCTTGCCCGGGGGCACAGCTTCACTGGACCCTCGCTTGCAGTTTTTTTTGAAAGACAACGTGACATGTTGAGTCCGCGGCATAACTAAAAACTGCTCACCCGCCACAAAAGGAAAAGACTGGCGTCAGTATTCGTACATTTGTACGTACTACTGAGACTCCGAAACAACCCTCATGAACTGCCCGGGATCGGCGGCAATCTCTCCAACATGAACTGGGCAATGGTCGGCTGGCAGAGTTACGGTAAAGAGAAAGGGAATCAGAATGGCCCTTTGGTATGCACAGGTAAGTTGTTCCAACATTGACTGCTGGTCGCCAGACTCAACACACTCTCAACACTGTACAGGCGTGGCTTCTTGCACCGGCGGACCCGATGCGCATGCGGCCCGAATGCAGCTATACCCTGCTTGTTCATCTCGCCCGGAGTGCTGACACTACCTTCACATCGGGACCTTTGCAGTGATGACGACCATGGACACCGAGTGACAACTCTTCCAAAACGGTTTATCTCTGCCTGCAGCCGGTGCTTGGCGCCTTACTTGCACTGCTCACCAAAGTGCTTGCTGCTTGAGAACCATCGGTGCGTGTCCGGATTTGGAAGTGCTATTGGTTACTCCGCCGCACAAGCGCTGTTGCAGCTTCCCCTCACATGACTCTGCAAAGCAGTACAGATTTTCGAGGCCCCTGTGTATCAGGATGTCGGTGCTTGAAGGAATCTCTGGCCAAGCAGGTTGCTACGGCTTGACATAGCTTGACCAACCTCGCATCATGGTCCTTGTTGGGCGAATGCCCTGCCAGTTTGGAGTTTTTTCTTCCGAGGTTCCTTGTCTGTTCAGATGCCTGTGATGTCCAGACTCTCTTGTGGGGCAGTCTTGTCAGCTTTTTCTCCGTGCTGTTGAGGTGTCCCTTCTCTGCTGACCAATCCAGAAAAATAACACGAGCAAAGGTCCATCAATAGAAACCTAAATTCAGTCTAACGTGGCAGTGATGCGATATGATGTCACGGTATGCAGAGAGATGTTGGTTGAGAAAGCACCCATGTAGTAGTGGATGTCGCCAGACGAATGTGGCTCCGAATGTGCAACTGTTGCCGAGAATCTAAGGCGAAGAAGAAGACCGCATCGGGAAAATGCAATCAGCAAATGAATCGAAAACGCTGTGAACGTCGCGGGCAGACACCGTAGAAAGGTGGATTCATAAAAACTGTGAGCACCACTGGCAAGACAAATCCACAAGTTTGCTTGAGCGCGCAACTCTCCGAGAACGAAGCCGTCGCAGTCAGAATTTCCAAACACGCGGAGTGTGTGGCCAGAGAGAATTTTATGGACGAAAGCAACATGGGCAATGGCTTATGCACTCAAACTTGTAAAGCACGACTCTACAAAATTCGGTGTTGACTTTAAGTGACTTTCCTTCGTCTGTCTCCGTGATATTTGGCTATAGGCGTGCATTGCTCTATGCCTCACCCCCCGCCCTTTTAACTTGCGAACTCGCTTTTCAAAGTGTAGGTAGCTACTGTATTGGGATAAGACTTTTGTGATGAAGGGCCCAACCACGACCATCCCGGGGAGTATCGGGAGTGCTATACCGCACTACTGCCAGCTATACAGACGTGGTCACCTCTTCAGCGCAAGGCGAAACGCTGGGGAAAGGACCCGAATTGCTTCCTGCACGCGTTGCACGTGCAAGGAGCCCTTGTCTTCCTCGGCGTAGACGCCCACCTGAGACTTCCGAAAGGCGCAGAGCTAAGGCTCTTGCGCGAGACTCTGGCTGACTTCGAAGGACTGAAAAGGACTCAAGAATCTGGGGCTCCAGGCAGTTGTCAAACCTTCCTCCTGGCAAGCCTTGGTTGCAATAGAAACGAATGTCAGCCCTGAAAACACGACAGCACCAAGCGGCAGACCCGAGCAATCCGGACGGCGATCTCGCCACGATTTGCAATGAGCACCTGCACAACTGCAAGACCAGATGCACTGATGGACCAAGGGCCATCCTACAACGGTTTACAGTTTACACGTGTCAACAGCGACCTTGGAGAAGGGAAGCTGAAGGCCGTGCGGCCGCCGCTGCGAAGCAAAGCTCCTGAAAGGGTTTTCGATTGCTGGACTCAACCTTCAACCTGGCGAAAGTCCGCCTCGGCTGGGCAGACGCTGCGACAGGTGAGACCTTGTCGCACTTGCTAAACGTGCGATGTCCATTCAGCTGCAGCAACTGGTTTGGAAAGCTTTAAATGATAACCGCCTTACAGCCGGAGCTTTGGATCAGCCGACAAAGCCAAGTGATCCCATCGGTGCACCACATGGCTCAAAGTTCTAACAGTAACGCTTCATCACTACACCTGCGCACACGGGCACAAGAAAGCAGTACACAAACCCGGCCCATGTAAGCGCTGCTGGCCGCAATTGTCCCAGAAGCCTGCGCAGTCGTTCAACATGCCGGGCAATTTCAACTAATCGTGCGAAGCCTACAGCCTGACACAGGATGTCAGGTGTTTCTTGCAATGTGCAAGTTCAAGCTTGCAACATGTTGGGCCTGGCTACTCGCCGCGCGGAAGCCATCTCCATGGTTGACTTTAAAATCTTTAAAGAGGCTACTGTGAGTTACAATCGGGACTTGCCCACAAGACTTCCAGGCTGAGCAAATTTCTGATCAAATAGAAGCACGTAGAAACCCTCAATGCAACAACGATGGAACAACGACGCAAAGGGCTGAACTTCGCCCAAAGCGGGAGACCAAAGCGAGATAGAGTTGCGTGTACACTGCTAGGAATGAACGTTTCCGTGGCGCTCTGACTGCAGGTCGAGGTCTCTTACAGCATTAACACTGGAAACCGATTTATCTGCATATTATTAACTATACATATATGCGTGTGCATATGTACACATATATGTATGCATGGGTGTATGTATGTATGTATATATATATATATGGTCACACCCC